TTAGGCCCCTTATTACTAAACGTTTTGGGCAATTACCACAACACTCAATTCCAGCTTTCCCTTTGTAAAATGGAACCTTGTAGTAAAATTTCAGAAAGATCCATACACTTACACACAAGTTATTGTCATGAAACTAGAAAAATGCTTGTTTTTTGCCCCCTTTTGGCCCCTTATTCCTAAAATTTTGAGGCAATTAACCCCAAAATCAATCCCAGCATTGACCCTTTGTGATATGGAATCTTGTGGTACAATGTCAAAGAGATCCATATGCTAACACACAAGTTATGTCTTGAAGTTACAAAAATGCTTATTTTCGGCCCCTTTTTGGCCCCTAATTCCTTAACTGTTGGTACCATAACCCCCAAAATCAATCCCCACCTTCCTATTGTGGTATTGAACCTTATGGTAAAATTTCATAGAGATCCATTCACTTAAACTAAAGTTAGAGTGCGAAAACCATTGTGTATTCGGACGACGACGCCGGACGACGACGACGACGACGACGACAACGCCAACGTCATACCAATATACGACCTCAAAATTTTTTTGCGGTCGTATAAAAATCTAAACACATGTTTAGATTCAGCATATCAAAGAACCCCAAGAATTCAATTTTTGTTAAAATCAAAGAAAGTTTAATTTTGGACCCTTTGGACCTTAATGTAGACCAATTTAAAAAACTGGACCCAAAATTAAAAATCTAAAAACACGGTTAGATTTGGCATATCAAAGAACCCCAATAATTCAATTTTTGATGATAGCAAACAAAGTTTAATTTTGGACCCTTTTGACCTCAATATGAACCAATTTGATAGCGGGCCCACAAATAAAAAATCTAAATACATGGTTAGATTCAGCATATCAAAGAACCCCATATATTCAATTTTTGTTGAAATCATACAAAGTTTAATTTTGGACCCCAATTTGGACCAACTTGAAAACTGGGCCAAAAATCAAAAATCTAAATATATGTTTAGATTCAGCATATCAAAGAACCCCATATATTCAACTTTTGTGAAAATCAAACAAAGTTTAATTGTGGACCATTTGGACCTTAATGACCAATTTGAAAACTGGACCCAAAATTTAAAATCTAAATACACGGTTAGATTCGGCATAACAAATAAATAAATGTGGTCAAAGATTTTACAATTCTAATGCGCCATACTGTGCAATTAAAGATTACTTCTTGAAATTTTTCAATATTTGAAATTTGAAAAAAAAATAATATTTGAAGAATAATTCTTTTTAATTTCTGAAATCTGAAATGAGAAAAAAAAAGACCCCCCACACTTTCTTTTTACCCCCCCCCCCCCCTCCCCCCATTTTTTCCCCAAAAAAATTCTTTCCCTCAAGATATGGTCATAATCTCAATTCAAATTTCCAATGGAGTTTGCAACCATAATTACCCATTTAAATTTACCATAGCGCTAACTTAATCTATTTTATAATAGAATTTAAAATATAGTGTCAAATCTTTCATATGGATTTTTTTATATTAAAAAAAAAAATTCGCAACATTTGCAGATATTTTTACTGGTCTTCCTTTATAAATATGCATTTCTTTAAACATAATTTAAAAGCAGTGTAAGGGAAGTAACCAAAACGTTGTATTTGGATTACCTCCCTTACACTGTTTTAAATTATCTTAATTGTTCATTAACCATTACTTTATGCATAATTTAAAAGCAGTGTAAGGGAGATAATTTCAATGATGTATTTGATTTATCTCCCTTACACTGCTTTAAATTATGTTTTGTACAAAATGTACTAAAGTATTTGTCCATTAACCAGGACAACCTTGTTTTTCCCCCTTTTTTGCCCCTAATTCCTAAACTGTTTGAGCCATAACCCCCCAAAGCAAATCCTAACCATCCCTTTGTGGTATGGAAACTTGTAGTATAATTTCAGAGAGATCAATACACCGTTCCACAGTTATTGTCTGGAAACTAGAAAATGCTTATTGTTGGCCCCTTTTTGACCCCTAATTCCAAAACTGTTGGTACCATAACCCCCAAAATCAATCCCCACCTTCCTTTTGTGGTATTGAACCTTATGGTAAAATTTCAAAGAGATCCATTTACTTAAACTAAAGTTAGAGTGCGTTAACCAATGTGTCTTCGGACGACGACGTCGGACGATGACGGGACGACGATGACGCCAACGTCATACCAATATACGACCGCAAAAAATTTTTGCGGTCGTATAAAAACGGCAAAATTTCCTTAAAATTACCAATTCAGGGGCAGCAACCCAACAACGGGTTGTCCGATTCATCTGAAAATTTAAAGCCAGATAGATCTTGACCTAATAAACAATTTTACCCCTGTGTCAGATTTGCTCTAAATGCTTTGGTTTCAGAGATATAAGCCAAAATCTACATTTTACCCCTATGTTCTATTTTTAGCCATGGCGGCCATCTTGGTTGGTTGGCCGGTTCACCGGACACATTTTTTAAACTAGATACCCCAATGATGATTGTGGCCAAGTTTGGTCAAATTTGGCCCAGTAGTTTCAGAGGAGAAGATTTTTGTAAAAGTTAACGACGACGGACGACGACAGACGATGACGACGACAACTGACGCTAAGTGATGAGAAAAGCTCACTTGGCCCTTTGGGCCAGGTGAGCTAAAAAGGAAAAAAAAATCCCCCCCCCAAATTTTGTGAACCCCCTTATGATTCATCACCCCAAAACTCAATAACAGCCTTCCCTTTGTGGTATGGTACCTTGCAGTACAATTTCAGAGAGATCCATACACTTGAAAACAAGTTATTGTCTGGAAACTAGAAAAATGCTTGTTTTTGGCCCCTTTTTGGCCCCAAATTCCTAAACGTTTAGGGCAACTACCCCCAAACTCAAACCCAGCTTTCCCTTTGTGATATGGAACCTTGTAGTACAATTTCAGAAAGATCCATACACTTACACACAAGTTATTGTCCTGAAACTAGAAAAATGCTTGTTTTTTGCCCCTTTTTGGCCCCTAATTCCTAAAATTTTGAGGCAATTACCCCCAAAATCAATCCCAGCTTTCCCTTAGTGGTATGGTACCTTGCAGTACAATTTCAGAGAGATCCATGCACTTGAACACAAGTTATTGTCTAGAAACTAAAAAATGCTTATTTTTGGCCCCTTTTCCCTAAACGTTTTGGGCAATTACCCCAAAACTCAATTCCAGCTTTCCCTTTGTAATATGGAACCTTGTAGTACAATTTCAGAAAGATCCACACACTTACACACAAGTTATTGTCATGAAACTAGAAAAATGCTTGTTTTTTTGCCCTTTTGGCCCCTAATTCCGAAAATTTTGAGGCAATTACCCCCAAAATCAATCCCAGCATTCCCTTTGTGATATAGAACCTTGTGGTACAATGTCAGAGAGATCCATACACTAACACACAAGTTATGTCTGGAAGTTACAAAAATGCTTATTTTTGGCCCCTTTTTGGCCCCTAATTCCTTAATTGTTGGTACTATAACCCCCAAAATCAATCCCAACCTTCCTTTTGTGGTATTGAACCTTGTGGTAAAATTTCATAGAGATCCATTCACTTAAACTAAAGTTAGAGTGCGAAAACCAATGTGTCTTTGGACGACGACGACGACGCCAACGTCATACCAATATATGATCGCAAAATTTTTTTGCGGTCGTATAAAAATATAAATACACGCTAAGATTCAGCATATCATAGAACCCCAAGGATTCAATTTTTTTTTTCAATCAAACAAAGTTTAATTTTGGACCCTTTGAACCTTAATATGGAACAATTCAAAAACAGGACCCAAAATCCAAATTCTAAATACTCGGTTAGATTCACCATGTTAAAGAACCCCAAGAATTCAAGACTTTAAATTAAACCCTATTGAAATTGCTAAAGAAATAAGCAATTTATACAAAGTATTACAAAAGTATTGCTTTTTGGCCCTTTTTAACTAAACCGTTAGGGTCATAACCCGTTAAATCAATCCCAAACTTTATTTTATGGTATAACACTTTATGGCACAATTAAATCGCAATCCATAGACTTATACTCAAGTTAGTGTCCAGAAACCAGAAAATTCTAGTTTTTTGGCCCCTAATTATTAAACGGTTTGGGCCATGACCCCCAAAATCAATCCCAACTTTCCTTTTGAAGTATGGAACCTTGTGGTTAAGTTTCATAGAGATCCAAACTCTTACACACAAATCATTGTCCTGAAACATGAAAAATGCTTGTTTTTTACCCCTTTTTTGCCCCTAATTACTAAACAGCTACGACACAACCCCCCAAAAACAATCCCAACCATCCATTTGTGGTAAGGAACCTTGTGCTAAAATTCCATAGAGATCCATACACTAATACTCAAGTTATTGTCTGCGAACCAAAATGTCTCAGACGCAGACATAGACATCGCCATAATATATATATATATAATACGAACGCAAAACATTTTGCGGTCGTACAAAAAAATCTAAAACACAATAGGATTGGGCTCATAAAAAAACACCAACAATTAGTTACTTTGACTAGTTTGGCACGGTGACCTCTTGATCCAGGTCATAAATATGGCCGTGACTCACAATAGCAATTAGGCAATAACCTTAAAAACCCTAAGAATTATTGATGTTAAGTTTGTTGAAAATTGTTCTAATGGTTTTAAAGAAGTCTTTAAAACAGGTGAACAATGACAGAGGAATACAACTGAGGCCAAGTGCTGGTAATAGCTGACATGGCCAATTACTTCTTTTGTTATATTTGAACAGTGCATCAGCTTGGAAAAGATTAGACAAACATTGATTTCAAAAGGGATCTTTAATTAATAACTTTACTTTTATAAAATTAATAAACGTTAAATACATGATAAAAGCTCTACCATTCTATTGTTAATGATTTTAAAATCATTTAGTTAAACAATTTGATTGAACAATCAATCTTAAATATTTTTTTTATCTTTCAAAACACTTAAATGAAGATTAAATACATGATTCAATTGTTCCTTTTTAAAGGCTTTTTACAGTGAACTAGACTTTAAAAAAAAAAAAAAAAAAATTTATATTTACTTTGTTAACCTTTTCTTTCTCTTTTTTTCTTTCTAGTTTTCTAGTTTTTTTTGGTTTTTTTTCAAGTTTTTTTTTTAAGGGGGGGGGGGGGATGAAAAGGGGGTGCGTATTATACACAACTCCATACTATACACGGCTACATACGGTAGTTATAAACTTGTTTAACAGAGTATAACAAATATTCATCCCATATCATTTATTCATACTAAAAACAATTAACTTTTCACAAGCATAACATGTAAGTGAAAATGTTCAAGTGTTCTTACTCAATGTAAAATTATTCTTAATTTGAACGGATGTCCACTGGGGCAATTTGAATAAGATTGATTAATTTTTTTTCAACTTTCATTGCCACCTATTTCATGCATATTGATTACAGAACTTAAGTCAAAATGTATAACTTTACCTACAATTTTTTGGCTTGATTGTATTACTGGACTGCTGTCCAAATGACATTTACCCAACATCTTTTTACTGTATAAGACAAGGTTACATTGGTAGTTGGTCAAACACAAACACTTTTGAACTATGTTTTAAAGTTTTTGTTATAAAAATGATAAGATATTTAATCTCCATGTATCTATATTTTCTTAAATCCATTGCTGAAGTTTTGTTGTACTCACCTTTTGGTAGTAAATACCTAAACATCATAATTAAAACTGAAAAAAACAAGACAGTTCAAGGTAAGACATAAATGATTATTTAATGAAATTATTAAGTTAGTGAAAAATTGTCATTTAAGAGCAATAACTAATAGAAAAAACTTGTCTGATGGTTTCAGTAATATTGGCATTATTGTAGATCATCATTTTTATTGTAAACATTTTCAATTTGACTATTACCATTTTCAAAGTAGAAGGGAAAACAGGAAAATTGATAAAAATAAATGTGGATAGTGTCCACATGTGGACACAGATGATGCCCCCGCTGCATATCATTTAGTTATAAAGGGACATAACTGAAGAACGGTAAAAGTGACGCTACCCAAATTTGAACTTGATCAGAGTTTTGTGGTAATAAGCATTGTGTGTAAGTCTCATAACATTTGGTTGAAGCTAACTTAAGTAGAGAACAGAAACTAAAAATTCAGCAATTTTTATACGACCGCAAAAAAATTTTGTGGTCGTATATTGGTATGACGTTGGCGTCGTCGTCGTCGTCATCGTCGTCCGGCGTCGTCGTCGTCGTCCGGCGTCGTCGTCCGAATACATATTGGTTTTCGCACTCTAACTTTAGTTTAAGTGAATGGATCTTTTTGAAATTTGACCATAAGGTTAAATACCACAAAAGGAAGGTTGGGATTGATTTTGGGGGTTATGGTACCAACAGTTAAGGAATTAGGGGCCAAAAAGGGGCCAAAAATGAGCATTTTCTAGTTTCCAGACAATAACTGTGGAACGGTGTATGGATCTCTCTGAAATTATACTACAAGTTTCCATACCACAAAGGGATGGTTAGGATTTGCTTTGGGGGGTTATGGCTCAAACCGTTTAGGAATTAGGGGCAAAAAAGGGGGAAAAACAAGGTTGTCCTGGTTAATGGACAAATACTTTAGTACAAAACATAATTTAAAGCAGTGTAAGGGAGATAAATCAAATACATCATTGAAATTATCTCCCTTACACTGCTTTTAAATTATGTATAAAGTAATGGTTAATGAACAATAAAGATAATCTAAAACAGTGTAAGGGAGGTAATCCAAATACAATGTTTTGGTTACTTCCCTTACACTGCTTTTAAATTATGTTTAAAGAAATGCATATTTATAAAGGAAGACCAGTAAAAATATCTGCAAATGTTTTCATCTTTTTTTTTTACAAAAAAATCCATATGAAAGATTTGACACTATATTTTTATTAATTCTATTATAAAATAGATTAAGTTAGCACTATGGTAAATTTAAATGGGTAATTATGGTTGCCAACTCCATTGGAAATTTGAATTGAGATTATGACCATATCTTGAGGGAAAGAATTTTTTTGGGGGAAAAAGGGGGGGGGGATAAAAAGAAATTGTGGGGGGCCAATTTTTTCTCATTTCAGATTTCAGAAATTAAAAAGAATTATTCTTCAAATATTATTTTTTTTTCAAATTTCAAATATTGAAAAATTTCAAGAAGTAATCTTTAATTGCACAGTATGGCGCATTAGATTTGTAAAATCTTTGATCACATTTATTTATTTGTTATGCCCAATCTAACAGTGTATTTAGATTTTTAATTTTGGGTCCAGTTTTCAAATTGGTCTACATTAATGTCCAAAGGGTCCAAAATTAAACTTTGTTTTATTTTAGCAAAAATTGAATATATGAGGTTCTTTGATATGCTGAATCTAAACATGTATTTAGATTTTTGATTTTTGGCCCAGTTTTCAAGTTGGTCCAAATTGGGGTCCAAAATTAAACTTTGTTTGATTTCAACAAAATTTGAATATATGGGGTTCTTTGATATGCTGAATCTAACCATGTATTTAGATTTTTTATTTGTGGACCCCGTTATCTAATTGGTTCATATTGAGGTCAAAAGGGTCCAAAATTAAACTTTGTTTGATTTCATCTAAAATTGAATTCTTGGGGTTCTTTGATTTGCTGAATCTAAACATGTGTTTAGATTTTTGATTATGGGCCCAGTTTTCAAGTTGGTCCAAGATAGGGTCCAGTATTTAAACTTTGTTTGATTTCAACAAAAATTGAATATATGGGGTTCTTTGATATGCTGAATCTAAACATGTATTTAGATTTTTGATTATGGGCCCAGTTTTCAAGTTGGTCCAAATTGGGGTCCAAAATTAAACTTTGTTTGATTTCAACAAAAATTGAATATATGAGGTTCTTTGATATGCTGAATCTAACCATGTATTTAGATTTTTTATTTGTAGGCCCCGCTATCAAATTGGTTCATATTGAGGTCAAAAGGGTCCAAAATTAAACTTTGTTTGATTTCATCGAAAATTGAATTATTGGGGTTCTTTGATATGCCAAATCTAACCGTGTTTTTAGATTTTTAATCTGGGTCCCGTTTTTTAAATTGGTCTTCATTGAGGTCCAAAGGGTCCAAAATTAAACTTAGTTTGATTTTAACAAAAATTGATTTCTTGGGGTTCTTTGATATGCTGAATCTAAACATGTATTTAGATTTTTGATTATGGGCCCAGTTTTCAAGTTGGTCCAAGTTGGGGTCCAAAATTAAACTTTTTTTGATTTCAACAAAAATTGAATATATGGGGTTCTTTGATATGCTGAATCTAACCATGAATTTAGATTTTTTATTTGTAGGCCCCGCTATCAAATTGGTTCATATTGAGGTCAAAAGGGTCCAAAATTAAACTTTGTTTGATTTCATCAAAAATTGAATTATTGGGGTTCTTTGATATTCCAAATCTAACCGTGTATTTAGATTTTTAATTTTAAGTCCCGTTTTTTAAATTGGTCTACATTAAGGTCCAAAGGGTCCAAAATTAAACTTAGTTTGATTTTATCAAAAATTGAATTCTTGGGGTTCTTTGATATGCTGAATCTAAACATGTGTTTAGATTTTTGATTATGGGCCCAGTTTTCAAGTTTGTCCAAGTTGGGGTCCAAAATTAAACTTTGTTTGATTTTAACAAAAATTGAATATATGGGGTTCTTTGATATGCTGAATCTAACCATGTATTTTGATTTTGGACATTGGACCATAATAGGTAAATTAAAAAAATTCAAGTTCTTAGACCACATTCTTTCTGTGTCAGAAACCTATGCTGTGTCAAATATTTAATAACAATCCAAATTCAGAGCTGTATCAAGCTTGAATGTTGTGTCCATACTTGCCCCAACTGTTCAGGGTTCGACCTCTGCGGTCGTATCAAGCTGCGCCCCAGCGAAGCATTTTATTCTATTTGTAAACACGCATAACTCTAGAACGGTTGTGTATAAGTTTTATAACATTTGGTTGAGACAAACTAAAGTAAGAGAACAGAAACGAAAAATTCAACAATTTTTATGTTTATAAAGGGACATAACTCAAGAATGGTAAAAGTGTCGCCACCAAATTTCGTACTTAATTTGTATTATGTAGTAATAAGCATTGTGTATAAGTTTCATAACATTTGGTTGAGGCAAACTAAAGTTAGAAAACGGAAACAAAAAATTTGTACTTGATCTTAGTTTTGTGGTAATGAATATTGTGTATAGGTTTCATAATGTTTGGTTGGGGCAAACTTTAGTTACAGAATGGAAACTAAAAATTTTGCAATCTTTCGATTTATAAAGGGGCATAACTCAATAATGGTTAAAGTGACACTACCCAAATTCAACTTGACCTGTGTTTTATAAGTGGAAGTCAAAATTAAACATTGCATTGTATAAAGCATTGATTGTAGTTGATTCAACTATAATCATGGACAAAGGAAGATAACTCCAATTTAAAAAATTACTTGATATTTAGAAGAAAATAAAAATTTTGCAATTTTTCCATTTATAAAGGGGCATTACTCTAGAACGGTTAAGGTGACGCCACCAAAATTCACAGTTGATCTGTGTTTTGTGGTAATAAGCATTGTGTATAAGTTTCATAACATTTGGTTGAGGCAAACTTAAGTTAGAGAACGGAAAATAAAATTTTTGCAATTTTTCCATTTATAAAGGGGCATAACTCTAGAACGGTTAAAGTGACGCCACCAAAATTCAAAGTTGATCTGTGTTTTGTGGTAATAAGCATTGTGTATAAGTTTCATAACACTTGGCTGAGGCAAACCAAGTTAGAGAACGGAAACCAATTTTGGGACGTACGTACGTACAGACGGACTAGGGTAAAACTTAATGCCCCCGCCGCTACGGCGGGGGTATAAAAATAATTGTTAAATGCAATAACTGTATTAAGTACTCTCTGATTATTTATAATAATGTAACGAAGGTAGAAGGAATCATTTTGTCCTATATATTTTCTATATATATCTAATATGTTTTTTCAAGATATTAATAAATTACTTTCATTTCATCCTTATGTTCTTATTTAGCCAAGGATAACAATGTCAATTGATTGGCAGGAAATAAAAACAGACTATATACAAGATACCCTAATAAAATACATTCAGTCAATGATTGCTTGAAATGTCCAGCAGTTTCAAAGGAGATGTTTTAAAAAGTTTGACCAGACGACAACAAGGGCTGGTTTGGTGTGTGTGTATTCATCAAATAAATCTGTTGAAAAACCCAAGATTTAAAAAAAAAAATTTGGGAGTCTTGTGAAGAAACAAAAATAGAGAGATTTTTACGGTTGGCCAATTAGAATCAAAACATTGACTCTGGCATTTATATTTTTTGTTACAATCAAAGCAAACTTTGACCATCTGTAGCTGATCTTCCATACTTCATGTACAACATTTAAACACGGAGAGGTTGAAATTGACAACGAAAGTAATTCAAAGCTTGAAAGGGTATAGCATTTTGGAGGTGATTGTTATTAGAATAGCTGACATAATATGCTATTCAGGAAAGAAATCAGCTCATTTAAACAACAGGCTCCTAAGAGCCTGAGTAGTTCACCTGGAATTTTTTGTATAGATCTTGCATCAATGATTATTTTGATGTTTAATGTTCCAAATGTGTGTTTAAACATGTTTTTAAAAGATTCTCTCTATTTATCATAGTTTCTATAAAAAAAAATAAAAATGGTTAAAATCCTCTTTCAAGGGCATCAACTCCTATAAGGAATCAACTGACAATTTTAGTCAAGTTGACTTACTTGAAGGTCTTACTTTGCTGAACATTTTTGCTGTTTGAAGTTTCTCTCTATCTATCATAGTTTCTGCAAAAAAACTAAAAATTTAGAAAAAATTATCTTTCAAGGGCAATATCTCCTATAAGGGATCAATTGACAATTTCGGTCATGTTGACTTATTTGTAGGTCTTACTTTGCTTAAAATTTTTGCTGTTTGAAATTTCTGTCTATCTATATATCATATTTTCTATGATAAAACTAAAAACAATGGTAAACAATTATCTTTCAATTGGAATAACTCCTATAAGAGATCAGTTGACAATTTTGGTTACATTGACTTATTTGTAGCTCTTACTTTGCTGAACATGTTTGCTGTTTGAAATTTCTGTCTATCTATCATAGTTTCTGTAAAAAAACTTAAACATTTAATAAAAATATTCTTTCAAGGGCAATAACTCCTATAAGGGATCAATTGAAGAATTCCATTCTAAAACTTAATGGTAGATCTTACTTTGCTGAACATTTTTGCAGTTTAAAATTTCTCTATAATTGTTTTCAAGATAACAATCAAAAACAATCAAAAACTGAGAAATTTCATGATTATTACAATTTCAGGGGCAATAACTCCAAATTGGGTCGTCTGATTAGTCTGGAATTTTCCTCACTTATAGATCATGACTTGGTTATCAATTTTCCCCCATTTAGTTTTGCTCAAACTGTTTTTTTTTTTAGATATAAGCCAAAAACTGCATTTTACCCCTATGTTGAACTTTCTGCCATGTTAATGTTTGTTGGCTGACCAGAATAAAAAACACGAACTTTATACTAGATACCATAAGGATCATTCACCCCAATTTTGTTTGAAATTGGCTCAGTGGCTTCAGAGAAGATCTTTGATCAAGGTTATAACGACGTGGATGGATCCCAAGTGATGGCAATAGCTCACATGGCCCTATGGGGAAGGTGAGCTAAAAAAATGTGACAGACTTTAAAAGTTGAGTAACTTACCAATGGTAATAAACAATAAAATTAGAATACCAGTTAAGGCTGAAGGTGAAAATGACCCTGAAAGTAAAATGAAAATGAATAAGATATAAATAGATTATTTGTGTTTCTGCACTGTTCATGATATTGCTTTTTGAAACCTGCTTGGAGGTACAGATGCTGTTATGGGCAAAGTCAAAATAAATGGTCCAAATTTTAAATTTTTGACCAAATTTCAACATTGTTTCAGTGCATTTTCTTTTGTTGTATCTTGATACATATACATTTAAGTTAATAAATCCAAAAGGATATAAAAAAGTATAAAGAAATAAAAAAGTTCTGAAACTTTATTGACATAAACCAATAAACAAAATTTAAATCAAGTATACATTTTTGGAATATGATTTCAGACAAACAATATCAAGTATTTATGTTTTTGGCTTTTTTTGGTATCAATTCATTTAAAATTGATTGAAAAAGTTTTGATTAAAACATAAATCATCAATTAGTTGATAAAAAAACTTCTCCATATCAAAATGAACCCTTTTTCAAATTCACCGAGGAAAAAAAACTGATTGATAAATCTTTCAATAAAGAAGATATATCAAAAAGAAAATACATCCAATTTCCTCTGTTTTTGTTGCACTCCTGACATATTATACACCAAACAAAAAATACAGAAGTTAGAACAAAATACTCATGATTTTTAAAAATTTGTAATCATTGCTGATTTATAAAGACCTAAATCTGTCATTTCAATGTTATTTCTATTTTAACTTATGCATCTTATGCACTTCAGATCATATTTAAATTGATTTCTCTGACACATTATTATTAAAATGAGGTTAAGTTACCAAACTATGAACTAAATTCTATTAAATATTTAGCAGAATTGTTGTTTGACAACTTATAAAGAGATCTGCAATCTTCAAAGTTTTTCTGAACTATGATTCTTTTTTAAATTATTACCTATATAAGGAACTTTATTTCTCCTATTCTGTTGCACTCCTGACACTCATTATATATCATATCAAAACAGTTATACATCATCAAAATAGCCCATGATTTCTAGATGAAGTGTATATACCTTTCAGATTTAACGTTTTAATTTCATTTAAACAATATTTTTGAACTTTTTCATATCTATTACTTATTGTATAAAGAAGTTCAAGTCTCATCACATTACGCTACTATTTTTTTTTAAATGGCAGTCTTTGCTGTTTTAGAATGGGCTGAATTTTGTGGCTTGATGTGTAGAATATTACTATAAAATATCTTTGGGAAATCTCAAGTATTAAAAAAATGACGGTAAAAAAAGATGCCAAAATTGTCAGGAGTGCAACACTTTTTTGTGACATTTTGAAAAAATACTTTTTTTTAAAGACACAGCAAATTGTTGTCTGAAGATATGTGCCTTAAATTCTTATTTGTTTTACAACTATTATGTCTTAGTGATGATTTAAGCTCAGAATGAAGCTTTTCCATTAAACCATTTTGATACAGATGTGTTTGAAAAAAAGTAGTGCCCTGTCAGGAGTGTGACACAAAAATTAGTACAACTGAGGAATAGAATGATTTTTGAATATATGAATCACACTTAAACATAAACAAAAGTCAATCTGTAAAAAAGATATGTCCTTTCCAGAATAAATACTTTATTAACCTGATTATTGATATAAATAATATGAGATAGTCAAGTAAAAAAGGCTTCCCTATAAATGTCAGGAGTGCAACTTTGAAGTTTAAAGACTCACACTTAATAAATACAAAAGCCAACATATTGTTCTGTTTTATTTTTCAAAAGATACTATACTAGATACAAGATTGCACCCAAAGAGTAGCCTGATAGACAAGGAATTTATCTTTTTGCACCATTTCTTTGATGTCAGGAGTGCAACAGTTTTAAAATGTTATTTTCTTGGACTTATATTTTAAGATAATATCAGCTCCTTATGACTTATTTGCCTTCAAATATGTTTTCTTACTATTTAGGCTACATGTATGAGTTATAATAAATTCCTAAAGGTGAATTTCAAAGCAGGACTTTGATCCAAAAATTATTGTTTGTCACAAGCAATTATATCTGAATGATGAATTTTTATATAATTTTTGAATTTAGGAAACTAATTGTCATAAACTGTGTCTTTTGATAAGAAAATAACCATATTTCAATTTAAAAGTTTTATAATGGTTTCATGTCATGCATGTAATACTAATCAAATTATTATAATTGTTATAACAAACAATTAATTGTGTTGAACTCCTGACATGAATTTTCCATAACAAGCAGTTTTGCACATTTTGAGTTCAATTTTTATGATCCAACCTTTGAATGAATGAAAGATGTGAAAGATGGTTGTGAAACTGAACTATATGGCGTTCATTATCACTGAACTAGTATATATATTTGTTTAGGGGCCAGCTGAAGGACCAGGCCTCTACAATAACTTTTTTTTCAACTTGTCCAGTAGGACAAGTACATACCAAAACTTACTTGTCCGAATGAAATTGTAACTTGTCCAAAAAAATCTTAATAATAACCTTTTTTGCATTTTAAGTTGATTCAAGGAACAAAATGAATTAAAACAATAGAACAGAATTTATTTATATCTTTTGAAATACTATTCAAAAATATGAGTCGAATACAACTGAATCTAGTCATGTCACAGAACTTAGGTTCTACATGTAGTTCGTCAATGCCAAAGTCTCATCAGATTCTGCACATGAGGCACCGTCTGATAGGGCTGTCAATGTACACTCATTGGATTTGTATCCTGGTTTTTTAAAGTTGAAAAAAGTTTATTCAAATGCAATCAATAAAAAAAGATGAGGTATGATTGCCAATGAGACAACTCTCTGCAAGAGACCAAATGACACAGAAATTAACAACTATAGGTCACCGTATTGCAAGTATTGTTTTTTTTTTTCTACATATGATCAAATATGATTTTGTGAATTTAATCGTAAATAATTTTTCATTTTTATCTAAAAAATATTTTTGTTAAAAAAATTACCGGTATGTTATTTATTATAAAAAAAACAGAATAAGGTAGGAAAACGAGGTACTGATTTGTCTTGGTCCCGAAATGTCTCCTGCGTTGCCAAACTGTCTATTAATCATGTCTATTAAATATGTCTCCTATGGTGCCAAACTGTCTATTAAACATGTTAAACTTGGAGCCGAATCGTTTCTGAGCTTGTGACGAACTGTCTTGTAAAGTTACCTTATCTCCAAAGCGCATCGCTGATTCGGATCAGTAAGACTGGTTTCCGAGAATAGTAGGCATTTTACCTGTTAAAAAGTACCTGACAAAGAACCAGTTTTAAATTATCGATTGCAAGTAAACATGTCTTGTTTTCATCATCTTTTCTTGTTTTTTGTTTATAATTACTTTGTTCATCAAAGTTGGATTAAATTTATTTTCTGCAGAATAATTTTACTTGTCCCGTCGGACAAGCTTGATATAGTTTTTACTTGTCCGACCCTTTTTCCCTCTGGTACCGGACAATCGGACAAGCGTTATTGTCGAGCCCTGAGGACGCCTCCGGGTGCGGGAATTTCTCGCTGCATTGAAGACCTGTTGGTGACCTTCTGCTGTTGTCTGTTCTATGGTCGGGTTGTTGTCTCTTTGACACATTCCCCATTTCCATTCTCAATTTTATTTAGAAGAAAATCAGACAGGCTAAGTGCATACAAACACACCATCAAAGTCAACAACAACTTCAACTTTGATGAGCAGAAAATTGAGAAAAACTCTGAAAGAAGATCCACCTAAAGGACACACTAGACAAATATAAGCAAAGAAAACAAAACAATGTAAAATTAAATTACAAAGACTTAGACCTGAAGACAAAAACACAGATGGAGAAAATGAAAAAAACAAAACAGAGATTGGCAACAGAAGAGAAGAAGAAAATTGACACAAGCCAAAAAAGTTGCAAACCAACAGAAAAATGTCCAGTCGAGAAGCAAAAGTACTGGTGCAGATACACTTTCTAGAAAAATCAGAAAGAGAAGACAAAGTATAAGGAAAATTCTTCCTTCTTCAACCCAAACCTTGGCCTAAAACAATTGAATACATTATATCCACAGCTACACCAAGGCAGTAGTTGTAAGAAATAATCAGTACTGATGGAAGTGTGCAAGAAATTGATGGGTGCCTAAGTGGAGAGTTGAGAGACCCTTATAGATCTTGACACTGTTGAAAAGAAACTGGCTTTTTCAAAAGGAAAAGAAGGCTACCTGAAAAGTTTAGAACTAAGGGACTATTTGAAAATGCCATTTTCTTTTCAACAGTTTTCAGATCTTTGAGGGGTTCCTCAACTTTGTTTATACTTCAACATGTTCAAGACACATCAATTTCTTGCACACAGCTGCAATCAGTTCGCATTAACTCTGACAACCACCTTGGTGTAGCTGTGCATGGATATGATGTGCTTAATTATTTTAGCCCACGGTTTGGGATGGTCAGGAAGATAATGTCTTATTCTTTTACTTCTCTTTCTGATTTTTCTAGGTATTGTAACTGCATCTGTACTTCTGCTACTTGACTGGACAATTTTCTGCTGGTTTGCAACTTTTTTTAGCTTGTGTCAATTTTCTTCTTCTTTTCTGTTGCCACTTTCTCTGTTTTGTTTTCATTTTCTCATATGTGTTTTTAATTCTGGTCTATGTCTTTTGAATTTAGTTTTACATTATTTTGTTTTCTTTGTACTTTCTTTGTTTATATTTGTCTAGTTTGTCCTTCAGATTTGGATCTTCTTTCAGTGTTTTTCTCAATTTTCTACTTCTCAAAGTTGAAGTTGTTGTTGACTTTGATGGTGTGTTTGTATGCACGTAGCCTGTCTGATTTTCTTCTAAAGTTCAGTTTCACAACCATCTTTCCCATCTTTCATTCATTCAAAGGTTGGATCATAAAAATTGAACTCAAAATGTGCAAAACTGCTTGTTATGGTAAATTCATGTCAGGAGTGCTACAAAATTAATTGTTTGTTATAACAATTATAATAATTTAATTAGTATTACATGAAACCATTATAAAACTTTTAAATTGAAATATGGTTATTTCTTATCAAAAGAC